CAGGTGTGTGTGTGTGTGTGTGTGTGTGCATGCATGCGTGCCCAAAATCCCAGGAGGAGAATGGAAAAGAAGAGATTTTGGTGTGGCCACCCCCCCCTGGGAACTGATCTCTCACTTTCCTTTTCACTGCCTCTGTCTCTCTCCAATGAGTGTGCACAACTTATGGCAAAAATAAAAACAGGAAAAGAGGGGCTGGTGAGGATGTGGAGAAATTGGAACCCTGTACAGTAGTGGTGGTACAGTAAAACAGTTCGGCCACTGTGGAAAACTGTTTGGTGGTTCCTCAAAAAGTAAAACACAGCATCATCGTACAACCGTGTGAGTTAGGAATACACCCAAAATCATTGAAAACAGCGCTCAGAGGAAGACTAGTACATGAATCTTCACGACAGCACTATTTGTAACACCCAAAAGGTGGGAACAGCCCAATATTCATCAATAATGAACAGATGAGCAAAATGTGGCATATCCATACCATGGAATGTTACTCAGCCATTAAAAAGGACAACGCACACATGACACAATGCAATGAACCGTGTAAACGTCACACCGAGTGAAAGAAGCCAGACACAGCAGGCTGCATATTGCACTATTGAGTGTATACGAAATACCTACAACAGACAAGTCCATAGAGACAGAAAGCGACTGGCACGTGCCGGGAGCCGGGCAGAGGTGGTGATGGGGAATGATGACTGGCAGGTGTGAGGTTCCCTTTGGGGGTGATACAAACATCAGAAGAGGATGTGGTGGTGACGGTATACCGTTGCGAATGTACTTAATGCCACTAAGTTACACACTTTAAAATTTAAGATGGTAAATTTTATGCTATGTGTATTTTATGTCAATAAAATAAATCAGTAAAGCTATAGAAGATTGTTACAAGATAATTAAAAGACTTGACCTAATTGACGCACACAGACTATGTAACCAACAAGGGCATAAGATCCTTCTTTTTCAAATCCACACGGAACATCTACCAAAATTGATCTCTCGTGGGTCCAAAAAGCAAGACTCAACAAACTGCAAAGAACTGAAATCACCCTCGGCAAATTTTTTGCTTTAAAATATGATAATAATAATCATTGTAATAACAACAACCACCAGGCAAAAAGACACGTACCCAGATCATTCCAAAGCTCCAAAGGGAGGTACACGATTTGAAACCTCTGAGCTTTCGGTCCCTCCCCCCCAGCCTGCCCTTGGCCCTCCAACATCTTCCTCGTAGCCTCTGTCTCCCTGCAGAAACAAGTCGCATCACTGTGACCACAGCCCATCCCAAGGCCTGAGCTCTGGCCCTCTCAGGCCAGGGTGACCTTCTCCTTAAGGCCATCTCCTGACTCAGAGTGGCAGCTGGACGTGGCTGGTATGCTGCCCGGATAATGAAACTGTCCTAGGCCCCGGATCATCGCCTCATTCTTCTGACCACAGAAATTGGCTCCAGTCACCCAACTATTCCGTGAAACTCCTTCAGCTAAGAGACGGGTTTCAAAAATGACATATGACCCATTCAGGGCCGAGGGGATTTCAGG